CCATGTCTTTGTAGCATTTTCTGTAGGAAAGTGAGAATATTGCACAATGGTATGTGGGAATGTGAATTTCCAAGTTGACTGTAATGAAAGACAGTATTACCAAAAATAATTTAATGCCTTGCTCTCCTCTGTGAATTTGCAAGTCTTGTTCTGAATCAGTTTTAATATCTCATAAGGGAGGAGCATCATCAGCTCTTGTGGGCACTTGAAATGTGAGATTTGACTCCTAGATGTTGGATTCCTGTATCTGATTCCTGGATATCTGTAATTAGATGCATGGGAAGAAAAAGTTTTGCGTGTCTTGTGTTCTTGATACAACAATTGGTCCTAGGTCTCTGTATGCAGGGAATATTGTTACAAGTGTTATTTATTGCTCTTCTGTTGATGTTGTACTGTGCCTTTTTAGGTAATCTCATCAGACAGGTCAATCTGTCAATGCATTTCTGCAATAACTTTTAGCAGATAAAGGTTCTGATTTAGAAATGTATGAGCACATAAGTAACTTTATTACCAAGGACTGTAAAAGTGATACACATTAAACTTTTTATGAGTGCTTGTAAATTGGCTATTGTATTTGTGAGGTGCCCCGTGGCAGGAAGGAATGATGAATCTGACTCCATGTTCTTAGAAGGCTAATTTATTATTTTATGATACTATATTATATTAAAGAATATTAAACTAAACTATACTAAAGAATACAGAAAGGATACTTACAGAAGGATAAAAAATAATGAAAACTCGTGACTCTTTCCAGAGCCTCGAGAGGGCTTGACCCTGGTTGGCCAATGAGTGAAAACAATTTACATGAAACCAATGAAACAATCACCTATTGGATAAACAATCTCCAAACACACTCCAAAGCAGCAAAACACAGGAGAAACAAATCAGATAATTATTGTTTTCGTTTTTCTCTGAGGCTTCTCAGCTTCCCAGGAGGAGAATCCTGGGCAAGGGATTTTTCCAGAAAATATGAATGTGACAATTGGCTCTTTGTTTTCGTCCAAACAATGTTATACAGAAAGTAAAATACCTTCTGGCAACAAAAAAAGCTGTGTTTATATTTTGCCATTAAGCACACATCTTTTCTCCAGTGCTGCAGAGTAGTTTTATTTGTAAAAGTCCCTTTAGAGGCTCTGAATGGTGTCTCTCCACCACTCCAGGAGAAAAAATGGATGCAGTTTCTTCTGGAGGACCTCTGGAGTCCCACAAGTTCTAAGAACAAGAATAATCTTCTCAGAAGATGATGAAAAATGTGTTTAATCACATTAGATAAGACATTTCATTCAAAATTATCTTTTTGTGTTTAGCACTGACCATAAACTTCCACCTGCAAAACTGCCAGCCATCCTTCTCACCCCCCAATTCACTGTGAAATCATTTCCCAGCCAAGCTGTAGCTGCTCTTTATTCAGAGGAATAGATGGAAGGGAAGTCCCCTGAGCTCTTGCAAGCAGGATGATTTTTGCCATCATAATCCTCAAGTAAATTGCACAAAGCTGTTAACATTTTCCTAGGTGATTGCATAATGTTATCGCATAAATGTATTTGTCAGATTAATGTATTTCACACAACTTCACTAGAAAACAGTATTTGCAGCATCAATAAATGAAAAGCAGTGTACTTCATTATGGGTTATAATTTGCAATTTATAACTGAAAATTTATATTACAATTTGTGACCCATCACAGTAGCACTGCAGATGTATAAACTGATATTTGAATGGTAGACAGGTTAAAAAATTTCTAAACTTTTCCTGTTGACATCACAGTGCTGTGGGGAGGATGACATGATAATCCTCATCCCTTGCAGTTAAAATCAAATTTCTACTTCATGAACCCATAGACATCTTTGCAGGAAGTCAGGCTTGCAGGAATCACCAGTTTTGTTGTGGTCAGCAAGTGACTATTTTATAATGGTAAGAAAAAGGCTCTTTGCTCTATGCATTAAAATAAATCAACCAGCATAATGTCAGTGAATTAACCACTAACACGTAAAGAAACCATACTTTACTAGTTAAATCAGCTTTAGTTGATGGCTGAACTCACAGAAGCTTTGCTCTGCTGTAACCAGAGGTTACAAAGGTAACCTTCATCATTTACAAAATTACTTGGCAAAGCCCTGTTTTTGTTGTGTATAACACTAAAAAAATACCTTTGTACAGAACATATGAGAAGTAACATTGCTTCAATATTGAAAGATTTTCATACTTATCAATATCTGCAGGATTGACTGAATTGTCTTTACAAATGTGAGTAGAATTTAGATTTTAAAACAAGACTCTTCCAAAATAATTTATTTCATTGTAACATTAATAGAAAATTTCTGTTTAGACTTTACTCCTAATTTTGGCAGGCTAAGGATATTTCACCATGAATCTTCAAATTATTTTTGTGTAAGAAGTTGTGCTATGCTTGAACAGAATATGTTTGAGAAGTTTATTGGGAATTTGGTACATTGTTTTGAATTCACAACACATTATATCTCAAATCAGTTTTAATTAGAGTATAGTTGATGTAAGTTGGTTTTGCTATATATTGGTGCCTTTAAAGAGTTTTGAGATTAATTATTAAAATTGGCATCCAAGTACAACAGCACAGTGGTGTTTTAAATACTGACTAATGATTTAGGCTGAGTTTCAGCTTTGTGTTTCAGTGCAGATTAATTAAAATATCAGTGTTCAATCAGTGCAGGAGTGGAGTATGTATACACCCAAATTGTAGTCCCAAGCACTCCATTGGCTAAAAGGTTCTTGCTAAAAGGTGCCCTAAATTTTGACTGTCATCAATAAAATTATTCTGAGCATTGTTTTTGGCTTCCAATCCTACTCTGGCCATGCATCAAGACAACAGTAAATCTAACTGCACAGCTCCCATTACTGCATGGGAAATATTGCAGCTGCATGGTAAAACACTGGCTGAATGTACATTGATGCTGCTGGTTTTGAATCTATTTTTAAAAAGTTGGCAGCTGGCTTGATGCTGCATCAGGTGGGGTCTGTCTGTAGGACCTGGAGCCTCGTCACGTATTCATGTGACATCAAGGTGATGTGTTTGTGTCCACATCTGGAGCACATCTGTGCTGCAGGGTGACCTGGTGGTGCTCGGATCCCTCACTGATGCAGCAAGTCAAGTCAGCAACCATGACTTGGCTGAGCTGGAGCATCCACTTGAGTCAACGCTTCTCGAGTCAACCAGTTTAAAGTATCACTGCTGTTATTTATTGACTAAATAGAGTGAAAGGATCTGTGTTGCCATCCCTCAGATCCAACATCCAAATGTCCCACACTCCCATCCCTTCCCCCTTGAGCTCCCTCACCCCAGGGCAGGCCCCAGTGGACATGCTGGGGGTGGGTTGGAAAGGGAAAGGAAAGGAAGCCCAATCTGCTGTCCGTGCTCCCGTCCTTTCCTCTGTCCTTTTCTTTTCCCCTGTTCCTTTCCCTTTTCCTTCGTCCTATCATTATCCCTGTGTGCTTATTTCTGTCCCTATCCCCATCCCAATCCCTGTATTTGTCCCTTCCTCTGTTCCTATCATTATCCCTGTACCAGTGCCTGCCTGTCCCTACCCCTGTCCCTATTCCTGTACCTGTCCCCATCCTGATCCCTGTATTTGTCCCTGTCCGTATCCCTATCTCTGTCCCTATCCATATCCATCTCTGTATCCCCTGCCCCTATTCTTGTCCCTATCCCTAT